GAAGTCGACGAATAGGTGATGGGTTTCAATATTGAATTCTAATGTTTTCTCGAGAATCTGTCTTATTGAATGAATCTGGTCTATTGTTGATTTTTCTGGAGTGAATCCAACTTGATATTTACCAACTATGCCCACTGTGTAAACTTGCAACCTTTCGTAGAGAATATTTGCTAGTATTTTGTAAGCAGTTGTTAACAGGGTTATACCTCTATAGTTGTCACACTGGAGCTGGTCACCTTTTTTATGTAACGGGCATATCACGCCTTGAGACCATTCACAAGGCATGGTCTCATTATGCCAAACAAGAAGTAAAGCTTATGCAGTGTCTGTAGTAGGGCATCGCCACCATTCTTGTAGAGCTCACTGCAAATTTGATCAACTCCTGGTGATTTATTATTTTTAAGCTTTTTAATGGCTTGGGCAACGTTTTCGATGGTAGGTGGTCTTTCGTTTGGGTTGAAAGGATTCCAATCATTTCGATTTGCTAGGGTGTTATCTGCTTCTTCGATATGATGGCCATTAAATTTTGCATCGAAAAATTCAACCCATCTGTTTAGGATTGAGGCCGTATCATTTAGGATGTTTCCTTCTACATCCTTACAGCTCCTTATTCTTGGCTTAAACTCTTTGCGCATTTTGTTTAGATGTCTGTAGAACTTTCGAGTTTCATTTTGATTTCTTAGAAATTCTGTGCTTTCCAATTGCTTTTGCTCAAATTGTCTTTTTTTTCTTCTATGTAATCGTTTTTCTTCTCTTCTTAGTGTCCGGTATTCTTCCTTTGCTCTTCTTGTGCATCCAGCTTGATTTGTCTTTAGGTATGCCCTGTTTTTGTTATCTGTTGCTTCTTGGCACTCCTTGTCAAACCATTCGTTTTCTTTAACTGGTTTGGTTTTCCCCAATATTTTTGTTGCTTTCTCAGTTATTATGTTTTTACATTTTGTCCACAGTTCCTCTACGTTTTCCCCCACCTCCAGGCTCTCCATTTCTTCGTCCATTTGTCTCCTATACTCTCTCGCAACGGTTTCAATGCACAGATTATCAACATTAATTCTGTCTTGTTTCGTGTGTTTATCTTTCTTTAGGTTTGATATTCTTCCTCTGATTTTTGCCATTACAAGAAAGTGGTCACTGTCAATGTTTGGGCCTCGGTAGCTTCTGACGTCTATGAGATCGGAAGAGTGCCTTGCATCTATCAGGATGTGATCTATCTGGTTATTTTTTTTTATTGTGGTTAACAACTCTTTTTTTTGCATTCTTAGTAAAACGTCCTGGTTAGTAACGTGGTCGGTATAGGATATCTTCAGAATTCTACGATAAAGCCACATTTCGAAAGCCTCAATTGTCCAGTAGTAGTCCACTACTCTTAGTAACCTGATTTTTATGGGTACTGATAAATCCTGGCATTTGAATAGCTTAGCCATTTTTTGAAATGCAGATTTTGCTATCTTTATCCTAGATTTTATTTCTACACATTTTTCTAAACATGGAACAAAAAATTTCGGTTTAGCAGTGTTGGCATGTTTATATAATATAGATGCTGTATGCTTCAAATATAAAAAGGTAAAGCTTCATCAGAAGAAAAATAAGAGAAGCTAAAGAACAAAAAGGTAAAAGAAATAACGGGTACTTCTGATAGGGGATAGCAGATGGTACTTCTAAAAAGCGAACACAAATGAAACTCATAGACACCCATGGAAAATTAATCATTGACACTCAAGAGATGAAAGACAAATGGAGAATATATTTGGAGACACTTTTTCAAGATCAAAGAACGGATTATAGACATCCATTTTCAGAGAGGATGACGGGCCCGGACATACTTAAATCCGAGGTAGAAGAAGCAATAAAACGGATGAAAAGCAGGAAAGCTGTAGGGCCTGATAATATCGAAGCTGAATTTTTAAAACTCTTGGAGGAAAAAGGAATAAATTGGATCACGGTTGTCTTCAATAAAATATACAATACAGTTATCATCCCTGATAAATGGCTAGAATCAGAATTCATAGCGATACCTAAAAACAGGGGGCTATAAAAAAAAAGAATATCGAACAATTAGCGTAATGAGCCACATGTTGAAACAGTTTTCTAAGAGTTATCCATGGAAGAATTTATAAGAAGTGCGAGGAACAAATATCAGTTCGGCTTCATCAACGCAGTGGGTACCAGAGAGGCACGATTCGAAGATGCAGGGACGTTAACTGCGACGTATACGCGTGCTTGATCGACTATGAAAAGGCATTTGACAGAGTTCAACATCAAAAGATGATAAACATTTTAAAAGAGGCAGACCTGAATGACAAAGACCTCAGAATAATTTCAGAACTCTACTGGAATCAGACCGCATACATGAAAATTAACGGAGAAGAAACAGATCACATAAAAATACTACGTGGAGTTAGACAGGGATATATCCTATCGCCGTTGGTATTTAATATGTACTCAGAGAAAATTTTTAACGAGGCTCTTTACGGAATAGACGAAGGCATCCTTCTAAATGAGTAAACAATGTTAGAAATGCCGACGACACCATGGTGATAGTTTAGAGGGACTTCAGAGGCTAATGGACAGAATAAACGAGTACATTCAACAGTACGGACTAAACATTAATAACTTGCTGATAAATGATTATCAGCAAGGAGAATATAAACGGGGCTCATCTATACATTAATGGGACGCAGATAGAGCGAGTAAAACAGTATTGCTACCTGGGAACTGTTATAAACGAACAGTGAAGCAATGTACAGGAAATAAAGTGCCGCATAGGAAAGGCAAGAACGGTCTTTAACAAAATGAGCGCCATCTTCAAAAGTCACAACATATCCCTAGATACAAAAATGAGACATTTGAGATGTTTTCTCTGTGTTGTTGTACGGGGCGGAGGCATGGACGCTTACAGACACCACTATTAAGAAACTTGAAGCATTTGAGATGTGACTTTATAGAAGAATGCTGAGAATATCATGGACAGCAAGGATCACGAACAAGGAAGTTCCAGGAAAAATGAAGAAGGAACCAGAGATTGTGTTTACGATCAAACGCATAAAATTGCAATATCTGGGACACGTTATGAGAAATCAGCACCGTTACTCCCTGCTGCAGTCTATATTGCAAGGTAAAGTCAAAGGTAAGCGTGGACCTGGTAGAAGGAGACTATCATGGCTGCGGAATTTAAGAACATGGTTTAAGAAAACCTCAACGGAGCTGTTTCGAGCCGCAGCGAGCAAGGTTATGATTGCCAATATGATTTCCAATATTCGAAACGAATAGGAACCAGAAGAAGAAGAAGAAAGCTTTAGAAAAGTACATTTTGTTTATATTATGTGATAAATTCTGCAATTTTATATAAAACAAGAATGAGTAAATATTTGTTTCTTTGGAGATTAATTATTAAGTTATTATTAGAATTTGTTTTTGGCAATTACCATTTGACATAATAGGGAATAGGTTTGGCAATCGTCAAAGCAGCAGTTGTCAGATTGCAACAGATGTTTGCAATTAATCTCGAAAGAGACAAATATTTACTCGTTATTGTTTCATATAAATTAAAAATTGCAGAATTCATAAAATAGTATAATCTATATGTACTTTTTAAAGGACTACTCTCTCTATATATTTGAAGCAAACAACATAAATATTTATTCTAAAAGCATCCCAATACTGCCAAACCGAAATATTTTAATTCTTGATTGACTTTTGTATGGGTACAAAACCCCCTTTAACACCCCCCTTTACAAAAGGGTATACCCCCTTTTGTTAGATACAAATTGATAACAGTTCTCTGAATTCTCGGTATCAGCAAGAAAGTCACAGTTGGTAAAATATCGCTCAACTCTAGTCTTCTTGGTAGACGTAACTATTATGGTATTTTTACCATGTACTCGTTCGGTTTTAATGGTCATTGGGGACCGCCATATTAAATGTTTCCTTGCTCATTTATTTATGTAATTGAGATGTTAGATATTTATTATATAAACAAAAGTTTCGTCATTTTTTTCGTTGAAATTTTGCCAGTTTTTATATGCATTTTATTTGACGAATTCCATAGATTCCGTATTTTGAAATTTGAGAGCACACCCTTGAGACAATTTTTTTTTATTCTTAAGTACTCAAAATTGAAGAAAAAAATAGTGCTGCTATCCAGGGTAATCGTATCTTGAATGAGTGAAATAATAGTGATTTGGAGTGGCAGCACTATTTTTTTATTCTGTTTTGAGTACTAAACAATAAAAAAAAGTAGTCTTAAGAATGTGCTTTCAAATTTTAAAATCAATATTTTTGGCATCAAAAACGTGAATATTTTTGTGGAATTCGTCATTGTTCATTTTAAAATCCACCAATACTTCATTCTAGTTTTTTTTTTACCCACTAGTATTTATTTTCTTTTTGGATGCATCTTCTGCTTTCGCCCTCTTTGGAGGTACATCCGTCAAATCTCCTTTGCCTTCCTGAGTTTCGTATAAAAAATTCACGTTCCATGTTTACCAAAAATTTTACCACGGTGTTACAACTTCATACAGACTCAAGATTTCAATCCGTCACTGTCTTGTGCGTTCATACTGCAGCTGAATTCCACCGATAACATTACTGTTTCTAAATGTCCAGCACAAATGGCGTTGGATAGAACCATAAATTACTAATTAATAAAAAAACCTATTTAGTTGAAATATTAATGTCAAGGTTTTTTTACTTTTATTGAAATTATTGTCATTTCATTAGTTATTTTAATAATTATTGTAACGGGATATTGTAAGATTGTAAAAACGCATTTGTTGGATTTTTTGTTGTTGCTTTAAAAGGTTAAAGACCACTGCTCTACAGTCTATATCTGTCTAAAGCTAGATTTAAAAAGAAACATTAAAATTGTAATAAAGTTGACATACAAACCATCACGAGTCATCAAAAACTTAATAAACTTAAGAATGCAAACATTAATAAAACATTTGTATTTTTATATTTCTTTCATTTAATAGCAAAAATGTTTATAATGATTTTTTTTTCAGAAAAATTGCTGACATCCGAGGGCCGGGAATTAAGACGAGCGTTATTCTCCCTTAAACAAATTTTCCAGGAAGATAAAGATCTGGTTCACGAATTCGTCCAGAACGACGGTCTATCATGTCTTATCAAAGTCGGATCAGAAGCAGATCAAAATTACCAAAATTATATCTTAAGGGCGTTAGGCCAAGTTATGCTTTATGTCGACGGTATGAATGGAGTCATGGAACACAACCAAACAGTACAATGGTTGTATAGCTTAATATCTTCCAAATTTAGATTAGTCGTAAAGACAGCTCTTAAGTTATTACTAGTTTTCGTAGAATATACAGACTCTAATTGCTTGTTATTAATAAAGGCCATTCATACTGTAGACTACTCACAGGGGCTTCTTCCCTACCATAATATTATGAAGCTTTTAAAAGACTTTGAAGCTGCTGATACCGAGCTGTTAATATACGCGATGACACTGATCAACAAACTTCTCGGTGGAGTACCAGACCAAGATACCTACTATGACCAAAGCGATACCCTAGAAGAACAAGGCCTAGAAGCTGTGATTCAAAGATACATGTCAAAACCTGGAACTGATCTCGATCTTCTGCAGCAGTTCCAGATCTACGAAGCAGTATTACAATACGAAGATGGTGATGAAAGTACTACCCCAATTCGACATTTGGATGAAAACATTAGAAAAACTATAAGAAATAGAAAATCTTTATCCCAATCTACTGAACGAAGGAAAAGCAGACGGCACTCGACAGGAAATAGTCCATTGTACCCCGGTATGGTTAGAAATAACAATAACTTGAATCTGCAAACCAATAGAGAAGATGAAGATGATGAGTCTTCTAGTTCACAGTCTTCTGGTATAAATAATTCTCAACTCAATGGTAGCTATAAGGATAGTAATAAAGGTAAGATATTATAAGTTTATTATTTTTCTAGTTTTTGGTATTGCTTAATTGATTAATCATTATAGTTTGCTAATATTTCCGGGTTTTTTGTTTGTTTATATTGGGACAAATCATTAAATTATTTATAGTAAATGCTGTCTCATCATTAATATAAAATTTTTATTTACTTAATATCTCAGCTTTTTCAATGTTCTAAATAATTTTGAAGCGAATTTAATCTGTCCCTCCTTGATTAGCAAGTGAGTGAGATGTTTCCTAAAATTGTCCAAAATATCGCCTGATTTAATCCTAGTGGACTTTTTATTATGGGTTACTTTAAAAACGTATTATTTATAAAAGAAAACGTATCTTCTTAGATGACCTTAGACCAGCAATTCTCAAACTTTTTTTTACACGTACCACTTACATAAATTCTGCGTCAATCGCGTACCACCTATTAAAAAAGTAGATAATAAAATTTACTAATTTTGGCAAAAATGTATTTATTTAAAAAAGGGCATTATAAATGTTACAAAATAAAACTTACAGTCTGACCCAATCCAAAAATTCAGTGAGAAGGATGGTTCTGCATAGCTACAACAAGTGAATCGATATCAGGATCAATTGTGCTTAGTTTCATTCGTAAATTTGGATCAACATTAAGCCTACTGCGAAATTTATTTTTCAGTTGTAGCATAGCAGAAAATCCAGTTTCACACAGGTAGGTTGTCGTAAAAGGAAGTAAAAATAACAATGCTTTTTCTGATAAGGCTGGATTTTATTTTTAATATTTAGCCAGAATTCAGCTAATTCTAATTTAGAAAACTCTATTTTCAAGCCTCCATCACAAGATAGTTCTATTAAAGATTCTTTTTCATCCTGTTTTAATGATTCAGGAATGCTATCCAAAATAAATGGTTGTCGTATCCAAAGAAACTGAGCATAGTCTTCGTCAAAATATTCTTTAAAATTATCAATTACCATTTGACAATGCTGTTTTATGTTAAAATAAGATCATCTTTAATCTTTATTTCATGCTCAACCACAAAATTTTCTAAATTGGTAAACGACTGCAAGTATTTGAAACACTATTTTTCATCATATAACATTTCTTGATAAAAGCATTTATTTTGTCGTTTACAGAAAATCGATTATGTCATTTACCTTGTAAGCTTAAGTTTAGGTCATTTAATCGATTAAATATATCTGTTAAGTAAGCTAGTGTTGTAAGCCACAATTCATCTAATAACCGATCACGCAGTTCAAAATTGGTTTCCATTAAAAACACATGTACTTCAGAACGCAACTCGAATAACCTGTTCAACATTTTTCCTTTTGATAGCCATCTTATCTCCGTGTGTAGCAATAACTGAATATGATCACTTCCCATTTCAGAGCATAGTTTTGAAAATAAACGCGAGTTTAAGACTCGAGATTTTATGAAATTGACTATCTGAACGGCTTCATGGAGAACATGTTTAAATTCATCGGGCATTCGCTTTGCTACCAAAGCTTCTTTGTGGATACTACAATGGGTAAAAGTACAATTTTCTGCAACCAGTTTTACTTTGGCAGTTACACCTCCGTATTTTCCTGTCATGGCTCGGGCACCATCCGAACAGAAACCAACGCATTGTTTCCAGTCTAGTCCATTTTCCACAAAAAAATCATTGATTTTCTTGAATATTTCATCGGCAGTAGTTCGTTCCGTTAACGCCTCACAAAATAAGTACTCTTCTTCGATTTTGGTTTGAAATATATACCGCACATAAACCATAAGCTGAGCATAGTTTGTAATATCTGTGCTCTCATCAAGTTGTATTGCAAAAAAAATACTATTTTTTCCGGTTTATCAATTTCTCTTTAACATTTAATGCCATTATTTCAATCCTACGACGTACGGTATCATTGGATAATGGTATAATACTAAGCTGTTTACCTGAATTCTCTCCAAAAATACACGTTACCATATCTTGTGCGGCAGGCAGAACTAGTTCTTCGCCGATTGTATGCGCTTTTCCACACTTCGCAATTCTTAAACTCACGAGGAAGGATGCCTCTACTGCTTTTTGGTTGCTGCCGGTGAAATTCGACATTAATTTTTTTGTGCCTCTCATCTCCGTTAACTTCCGAACGAAGTAATCCTTAGGTTTATTTTCCAACACTGAATGTTTTGTACTGAAGTGGCGTTTTAATAGCGAAGGTTTCATACACTGGTTAGAAAGAATTTCCGAACAGATTAAACATTGGGGCCTTGGCTCATCATTTATATTCGTGAATGTAAATCCCATATTAATGTATTCAGGATCATATTTCCTAACCGCCACGTTTAGTTTTTTGAAATAATTCTTTTTGTCATCACCCTGGATAGGCTCCGACTCTGAAGTGGAGCTCGATAGACCGGGATTTTCAGATGTTCTGTTGTCTCTTTTAAGCCACTTATCCATTTTTTATATGCAAAAATTAGCACGAATCAGTAACAGCAAATTACTCGTTTCGACAAAATTAACCACAACGACTGACGGCCACGAGGAAACTAATGACCACTGATGACGTGAATCAAGGGCGGTGGCAGTTTGCCGGGATTCCAGTGTTGCCAACAATGAATAAGACATTATGCGCTTGTGTTTCCAACTCGCAGCGTTGCCATGCACCACATAAAAGATAACATTCGTTGATAAATTTGATTAAAATTCTTCGTTTCTTCTAGTTTATAGAGTACCACCTTAAAGTTTGAGTACGGCTGCCTCAGACACAGTCTAGTGGTAGCACTTGGCCAAATTCGCTGAAATACCGATTGATTTTAACATTTTCAACAGATGTTTTTTATTTTATTAATTTTAAAGCAGGAAAAATAAGACATGTCTGTGAAAAGAACTAAAATACTTGGGAACACAATCTTAAAATCTCTCTTAAAAAGAGATAACTCTTTTATTAACATATATTTAAGACAGGTTATTTTGATTGTGGACAAGGGACCCTAAGTAGGTACTAGTTTCCCGGGTCAGGAAACACCTGAAATCTGCGGGGGGCAGGGATTGATTCATTTTCCCTGATAGCACTATCCAAAGGAGTTCCTACCCGCTACCCACTAAAAACCTTTATAATTTCGGCAAATAACCTTTACATTAGCAAGCTATTTTGAATCGCAATAATTTTTTGTTTAAAGTGTGTTTTGCTTTGCTTAGCCTTCGAAGCTGGCGTAACTCCTGCTTTAAAAAGGCGCCGAGAAAGAGCAGAGCGACAAAGAAGCTTCATGAAAGAGCAGGAATCGGCAGGATTCTTTCGAAACTGTCTGCTTCACGAAGGAAAGAACGAAAACGAAAACGGTAGGTGCTTTGGCTATTAATACTAATAATTGCTTTACCACTACTAAAAAACATGTTTACTGATTTAATGAAAATATTCTAATGATCAAATATTTGATGAAAAAACATATAACAACTGTAACAAACTAATATTCCTTAGTATGGCTCTCTAAATTAATATATTACAAATGCCAACTTTAAGCACCAACAGAAATAGAAGGAAATAAAAACAATTCAAATTTGTTAAATTCAATTAAATATAATGTTAAAATACCTTTTAAAATCATCATCACAGTCATTAACATCTTAGTAGATGTGTTGTGGTTCATAATTGGGCTTCAGCAGCTCGGACAGTTTGATTGATAATATTTCTAAACTGGTCGCGGTCATCAGTTATATGTATTGCCTCAGTATACTGTTTATTGAGAAGCTTTTTAGTAATGTCCGCCCATCGCTGTGGAGATCTTCCGCGTTGGCGTTGAGTCTGAGGCCTTCCTTGGACCACCAACCGCTCCATTTTGTGATCACTTCGATGGATATGGCCAAAGAACTTTAAAATTCTAGAGTAAACGGTACTGGAGAGACGCTGATCCGGTTTAATTTCATCCAGAACCGAGATATTTGTACGGCGAGCCGTCCATGGAATTCGAAGCAGACGTCTCCATGTCCACATTTCAAAGGCGTCTATACGTCGTCGATCTGATTCTTTGACTGTCCATGTCTCACATGCATAGTAAAATATGGAAAAGACCAGAGTTGAAACGAGTCTCTTTTTGTTTGTCATAGTACTGTGACGATCACGCCAGACCCCGTTTAGTTCACTCATTGCTGCTCTTGCTAGTTGAATGCGTCTTCTAATTTCGGATTCACAACTGCCTGTGTTGTTAACTAGAGCTCCAAGATATATCATAGATGAGACTACTTCGCATCCCGCAATAGTTTGGGTTTCAGGAAACTGTTGTTGGCGATCAATAACCATGATTTTGGTTTTGTTGTAGTTAACCATGAGTCCAAATTTAGCACTTTCTACCTCGAGTTTTTTTAATAATCTAGTAATTTCTTTTGGAGCAGAGGCTAGAAGTGTAGTGTCGTCTGCGAAACGCAAGTTAGATATCTTAACACCACCTAGGTTTACTCCTCCCTCCCAACCATCCAAAACTCTGCGCATTATGAACTCCGAATAGATGTTAAATAATAAGGGAGATAAAACGCATCCTTGGCGTACTCCCTTCTCCAAAGTGCATTTGTCAGGTTATCTTGATACAGTTTGCTAATAAGGTGAGTCAAGTGTTTAGGTACACCCATTGTCGTCAATATGTTCCATAGTTTGTCCCATCTAACATTATCAAAGGCCTTTGTATAATCGACGAAACATATAAATATCGGGATCTGGTATTCTCTGGCTTTTTCTATGATGTTTCGTACATTAAGGATTTGTTCTCTAGTACCTCTGCCCTTTACAAATCCAGCCTGCTAAGGTGCTATTTGCCAACTTATGAAGTTTTCTAGACGCCGTTGCAGTATGTAGAGGATCACCTTACTGGCGTGTGATATTAGAGCTAATAGCCTGTAGTTGTTACAATTATTTGTTGAACCTTTCTTATGAAGAGGTATGATTATGGTCTTTCTCCAATCCTCAGGCCAGACGCCTGTGTGCCATATTTCATTGCACAATCGATGTAATATTTTCACTCCACATTCCGGAAGATGCTT